GGAGTCTGGTCCTGAAGAGAAACTACCTTTACATCTACTATTGTGTGGCCAGGGAGGTTGAAGTGTTCTCCTACAGGTTTTTGTATATTGCCATTCCTGATATCTGACTTGTGTCCATTTATCCTCTTGCGTAGTGACTGTCCAGTTTGGCCAATGTGCATAGCAGAGGGGCATTGCTGGCACATGATGGCATATATTACATAGGTGGACGTGCAGATGAATGAGCCGGTAGGAGAACACTTCAACCTCCCTGGTGCTCCTGGTAATCCACCTCCACGAGGGGTTTAGCTCCGAGCGCTGGGAGCCTGTCTACACTAGCACTTTAAAGCGCTCAGACTTGCTGCGCTCAGGGGGGTGATTTTTCACATCCCTGAGCCAGCAAGTTAGAGTGCTATAAAATGTAAGTCCTAAATTAAAGCAATATTGTATGCTTTTAAGGGACAGAATCTCCACAATGATAGAATTAAAGCAAACAAAAGACCTAAGAATGACACCCACTTGACTTCCATGTACTGTTTTGTATAACACATTTCCCCCTTTCCTTTCAAGCCTGGGGAAGAGCAGCAGCTGCCACCTACCTCGTCGGCTTCGTGATCCTAGTCATCTGTTTTGCCCTAGCAGTTATTGCGTTCTCCGTTGATATACTTCGTTTCAACTTTGTGCGAGGAATCGGTGGCTTGATCTTTGTCGCTGGTAAGACTGATTATTGCTTCTTAAACTGATGTTTGTTCTAAATCTGATACTTGCTAGCTGGAGTAAAGCCTTCCTCCCTCTCCTCCTAAAAATATCCACCCCACACATGTTTCTAACTGGGTTCATGGTTCATTTTCATGAATGAGAAAAGCTTGTTTTAATTTTGAAGTGATACTTGGTTTGCATCCTCAGAGGTTAGGGATGTTGTAATGGTGAATGTCCGAGGATGCAAATCAAGTTTCACTTCAAAATTAAAACAGGATGTGGGTGTTGTGACGTGATGGGGGAGACATAAAGCAAGCAGGTAAACTAGAATGCTTGGCTTTGAACTCTTTCTGATGGATCTGTGGCAGTAACTAAACAGCGAAACAATCCCAGCAGCAATGTTGCTAACACACAAGTATGTTTTGCCATGGAAACTGCTATGCAAATACTGCATTGGATTCTTTTAGTCCAGATTGTTCCTTCTCTGCATCTATGCTTGGTTAAAGAAATTTACGTTCCTCTTATTAAGCATCATTGCCATTGTGTTAGTTTGAATTCTTCTCAAGCATAGGGTTAAGGACCCAATTCTTTAGTCACTTTGCACCCAAAACATCCTTTTGAAATCAGTGAGAGATCTGTGTGTAGAATGGTTCCAGAATGAGGCCCTGATCCTGCAATCAGATCTGTGTGGGCCGGGGCAGCTCCAGGCACCAACGCAGCAAGCGCGTGCCTGGGGCAGCAAGCCGCGGGGGGCGGCCTGCCAGTCGCTGTGAGGGTGGCAGTCAGGCTGCCTTTAGCGGCATGCCTGCGGAAGGTCTGCGGGTCCCGCGGTTTTGGTGGCAGTTTGGCGGCGGGTACACCGAAGGTGCGGGACCGGCAGATCACCCACAGAAATGCCGCCGAATCCGCGTGACCGCGGACCGCCCCCAGGCATGCTGCCGAAGGCCACCTGACTACTGTACTTGGGGCGGCAAAAAACATAGAGCCTCCCCGGTGTGGGCAGACCCTCATACCTGCGCTGAGTCCCATTGAAGTCTGTAAGAATGCAAGGGTACACCTGCACTGATCTGATTGTAGGATTGCAGCTAAGTCCTTAAATATCTGAGAGAGGAATGCATCTACCTGCCAATAAAGTCAGAACAGGAAATGTGATGAGATTAATTGTCACTTATTTTCAATTTGTTTATTTTTACCTTCTTTTAGCGATATTCCAGATCATATGCCTGGTCATCTATCCAGTGAAGTTCACAGAAGAAATCCAAATGATGGGATCTAATATGTTCAGCTGGGCATATGGCTTTGGCTGGGCCAGCACTATTATTCTAATAGGCTGTGGTTTCTTCTTCTGCTGTCTTCCGAACTGGGAGGATGAGGTGCTGGGTAACATCAAGCCAGCATATTAGTACTCTTCCCCAGAGAGGAGTTGAAAAGCACATTGTATAAAATGAAAGAATACATTAAAATATAAACACACTAAAAATTACAGTTCAGGAACTTTGATAATTGGATGTTACAGGCTGAAAAAAAAAATTTATTTTTCCAGAATGTTTTGAACTTGTGCTGACGCTGAGTTAGCAGAAAGGCTTGGCAACCTGAAGCAAACATTTTAGAAATTTTAGGTAAAAGATCAGAAAGTTTGTATTTTCATATTCATATCTGATATGGATTGATTTTGGGTTAGTCAATTTGTTGCCTTTCTCTACATGCAAAAGTTCCTACTAATTAAGTCACTCTTCCCCACATTTGTTTAGACATCCATATATAAAAAGAATTTAGTACTTAAAGTACAGAGGGAGAGAAACAGAAGGGCATTTTGATTTTAACCAGAAACACTGCAGAACCCTTTTATTCCCTTCCTGGTATCTTTGTTTTTATGTTTTATGTGGAAATTTGTCAGTAGTGAAATAGAATAAAAAAAATTTTTTTTCAAAGAACGTTCTTTTTTTTTTCTTCCAACATAATTAGTCCCAAAGAAGAATTTTTGCTATGCAAGTTCATTGCAAACCTAAGTCTCCTAAGAATTTCTTCTCCCCTCCATATTATTGGACTGATATCCAATACTAAGTAGTAGAAATTGGATCTAGAGAAATTAGAAACTTAAAACAAAATATTTTTCCACTGACCGTTGCAGTTAGATGGCATGTTCCTCAAAAGCATAAAGTGAATGTCTGTGTGTACAATATTAATGCTGTGCGCTGGTGTAACATTTATTGGCATTCGTTTGTGAAGACTGCAGTACTCCTATGTGATGAAACCATGAGTGAATAACACAAATCATTCCAAGAGTACCAATAAAAGCTTCAAACCATCAAACACCATCATGTATTTTTTATGCTGCATTTTAGATATGTTAGTTTAGAAAATATTTTAGAGTTGTATTTTGTTTTTAAATCGGTACTATTTTTCACATCCCTCCACCTTTAAAACCAGGTTGCCTTAGCTATCAGACAGGCTTTGGAGGAAAATTTTAAAATACAATTTTAAAGGTTTCAAAAGTGATTTAAAATAGATTTTCTGTATTTCAGAGTATAGCAAATTTAAGGTCTCATATGATGAGAACCACCGGTTCACATCACAGGTCTCTGTATGAGTGTGCATATATTTACACACATTTCACTGGATAATCTGAAATCCCAACTGAGTGGGATAACGCATGTGATTCTAGACTTGATAGAAATATCTAAGAGATATAGACGTATTCAAAAGTAGGGACTTATCACCTTACTATCTCAACACCAATGACATCAGGCCTCTAAACTGTGGATCCCTCACTGATGCAGCAAATGTAATTTTAGATCTGTACTTTTTACCTTATCTTCATTTGAAGAGAAAGAAGGAAACTTTTTTTGTGGCAGGTAATTTTTTTTTAAAGTGGTGACTATTTGAAGCTGCTCCGAGGTTGCAAATCCTGAAAGTAGCTCTGGCACAGCTATATTACTGGTAGGGTACAAGTGAAGTGGTGAAAAGTGCAAAGCAAATGCACGTGGTCACATCCTTCCATTGTTTTTTCAAGTGGTCTGGGGTTTATATCACATGGCTGCAGAAATAAAATAACGTATTCCAAGTTATCATGACACCATACTGTAGGTGGTGTGTGTGTGTGTGTATTTACATAATGTACAAAACACATACAAAAATATAAGCTATAAGACATAACCAGAACACAGTAGAACTAAAATACATTAAAACTAAGTTTTCTCAATGGCCAATCTATTTTGTATTATATTTTGTATTATATTGTAGTTTTGTAATACACCTTTTGCTTTTGGTGAAAATGTATAATTATACATGTTATAATCTCAGTCATGGCTAGCCAATCAACTAAATTTATGATTCTTGCTGGGAAGGAGCCTCTATTTCTGTACAGTACTACTGCTGGTGGGGACTACAAATTAATCTGTACCATTAATATGATAATATATAGTTGTACATTGAGCACAAAACCCAACAAGGAATAGTGATGCTGTCTGGCAAATACCTTGAACAGCCAAAGATCTGAAGCAAAACAAGACCTGAAGGTGGATGTGCACACTTGGAGAGAGGTTGAGTAGAAGTGTGTTGCTCAGAATTACTGAAGTGTTTTGTATGTTTTTGTAATCATTGTCATACTTGACAAAAAAAGAAAGTTAAATATAAACCAAGTTGAGTTCCAGAAGTATTTTGAAAGGAAACAAAAGCAAAATGTTATGGCTTGTTATGTTCAATTCAGCTGTTCAGGAATAAGCAATTGCAAATATTTTAATAATAAACTACTTTCAATAATGATGGTAATATATTTTGGTAATTTCAAATATAGTGGTTTCACTTTTTCTGTTTAAGAAGGTTATTCAAAAAATGTAGACAGGTTTCAGAGTGGTAGCCATGTTAGTCTGTATCAGCAAAAGTGGCAATTCTTCTACAAAAAAACTTCAAAACCAGACTCCAACGAGAAAATGCAGAACTGGAATTAATTTGTAAACTGGACACCATTAAAT